ATCCATTTATAATAGACACTATAGTCATCTTATTCTTTGATACTTACAAAGAGAGCTTTTTAATGTTTTTTGTGCAAAACATGCAAGGCGATCAGTGTATAAAACAACTTATTTGGAATGTGTACTTTTTCTTTCTTTCAGTCCATTAGCATCTGGCAAAAGTGAAACGTTAAACTTCCATTCCCAACACTGTATTTTGCTTTCTGTGTTTTAATATTGCATTCCAGATGCGACAGACAAGTCCACCACTGTATGAGAAAACAAAACATCATCTTAGGTTCGGTCTACTGGAAAGCAGTACTTCTAGAATTGTGCAATACTGTTCTTACCGGAGTCTAAGCAGTTGCAAGTCATCTTTTGTGATACTGTTTAGAACATCGCTGAGTGTATAGTCCTCTTGAACAAACTGAAAGAAATAATTTGTGTTTAGAGAGTAATAACTGATAGCATGTAAGATCTTGGCTATTTAATCTTACCCTATCAATTGCATCTGAATCAGCTCTTTGTTGTTTTAACCACTTGATAAGTTCTTCATCAGCATTGTGCTGAAAAGCAGATGATGACGGTTGAATTTCTGCAACAATTCAAAGTATGTTAACGAAACATATTATTCAAGTGTTTGCTTATAGAATAGACCTTAGATACTAATATGTATTACTTCATATAGCCTGTTGACTCCACCTAAATGAATGCAGAAAGTTTCATTTGCCCACTTACCAGTAGTTTTTAACTGGAGTTGAAGGAGATGCAAATCTTGAATTTTTTGCTGCAATATTTGCTGAAGGAGTTTCTGATATTCCCTTTCCCTCTGTACTAGGTTTTCCAGTAACCTATTATATGAAAAATTAGTCAATATTGTATCTGATGTACAAAACAATCCCATTTAAATACTTATGTATTTATTTACATGGAAACCCTAGTTTAAAATATAAGTATATGTTGTTATATGATCTCGTTCTTTTTTCCATACAAACGCACATGATTTTTCCCCATACACATAAGTGTTACATAACAATCAAATTAACTGTACATTCAGTGTAAAGACATGCTTTCAGGCCATCAGCTACATTGGACAGAACTTTCTTATAACGTGCAAAGGAATCTGTGGCATGAAATCAATACGCTGTTCATATACTGGTATTTAAAAATAGATTTGTATATGAAAGCTACAGGCATAGGATTCTCCTAATTTGTCCAATCTTAAATCTACAATTAAAAAAAAGTATTGCACTATATGTCCTATGCAAACAGTTTGATTTTCTGGAGCAGAAAACATTTTTTTCTTTTGAGGGCTGCATTTCTTCTGGGTTCTGTCAAACTATACACTACAGATGGTGACCCAGAGGTAAGAATGACGGTGGGCCTCTTTGTTACCTTCCTGTCCATTGGACTGCCAGCACAGGAACTGATTGACCTTGCAAGATAAATACAAATCTGCAGATTTTATGGCCTTTAATTAGTTGAGCTTCTCTTGCTGAAGAGTAGTTTATATGATCTGTAGATGATCATAAAAACGACTAAAAGATACGTGTGAACACGTTTTTAATGCAAACATATTGTCCAGAGCTGTTTACCTGTTTGTTTGCTGTTTTAATTTATTTAACCGCAAACTAAGTTTCTGTTCAGCATCCAGGGACGTGGAAGAAGTGAGCGTGCACCCTCCAGCAGTAACTGATTCCTCTTGTCTTCCTTGTTCAGCTTGCTGGTAATCATCCTCAACTTCATCTGCATCTTTGTCTACTCCTTCAGTTTCTGATGCTGGTTCAAAATGAGCTCGAAGCTCTGTGTAAAGCAGAAGAATCATAATGATTTTTTACTTCTCCTTTTCTTAAAATAGGAACCTGTAAGATTAAAAACTCCATTTCGAAATGACAGTCATTTTCAAATATTTTGCTTCATATTTAGCATTCCCAGATTAATATGCCCAGTGATTCCAATCCCTAATAACTTGGTCCCCTGGCCTTTCATAATCGTCACCTTTAGAAGAGAATATACATCTCAGGGTTGAACTGTGAAATTCTTGGTGCTCTCTGAGCTTGGTTGGTTGCCTGCATATGTTTCATTACCCAACTAGGTAACATTGTCAATTTGAGTTGAGTGTGGGGATTGCTGTGTGTTTATATACAATAGCTTGCCCTGCCAGTTTTGGTGGGGTTGTGGTTTTCTCCTTGGTAGTTCCTTGATTATGGCATTGTTTTCTGCTTGATTGTTTATCTAGTGTTAATTCTTGCTTATCTGTGTGTTGGCTGCTGGAGAGGATGTGTTCTGGTCTTTTTGTTTCCTTCCTAGGTTTTTTATTGTCTCTTTTGAATGGTATGTAAATTTGGTTTAACTCTGTGTCTATTGATGGCTGATTTGTCTGAATGCTGAGCTTTTAGGAATTTCCTAGCATTTTTCAATTTGGCTTGATGTAAAATGTAATAGTTTCCCAATTGAAGCTGTGGTTGAGTCTGTCCACATGTTGTATGTCACCTTCCTAGAGAGTTGCCCCAATATACCAATATTCCTACAAAAATCCAGGGCCCCAAACTGAAAGTAAGGTTTGATCTAAACAGAACACACAGCAGAATGATTATTTGTTACAATTTGGACACTGCAATTCTGTTTTTAGCTAATGGAGACTAATTTAGTTTGTGGTTTCCAAGACAAGACAATTACTTGTGTGTGTGTGTGTGTGTGTTATTAACAAATCTGATGATGATCTATTTCTATAACCAGGATTTTTATACAGATCTTATAATACAGGAAAGAACCTAATACCACTGCACTTTGCCACTAGGTCAGTCCTGATGAACACTCTAGGTGCGGTCCATCAACCTGCTATAAATTTAACAGCATGATGTAGCCCACAATTTTATCAACTTGCCAATAATACTGAAGGCTAAGATTTTTTAAAACCAAGTACTGTTACTTAGATACCACTTTCAGTTATTGATCTATAGGGTTTCAGATATAAATTGATATAGCAAATAGTATCCCAAAAATATGTTGTGGTGATGGGAACCTTCAGTTTTTATATTAATTTCACAAAGGATGCTAGCGGTTCTCTTAAGCTACATTGGGTGTGTCTCATTCCATAGTGTGTCATACCAACAGGGCTACGTGCAGCATATTGAACCATGGAATTTCACTTACCAGGAATAAGAATAGTGATAGCTGCCTGAACTGCACGCCGTATTATATTATCCATTGCAAACATCCAGTGAGGTCTGATTAAATGATTCCTTAACACTTTATTCACCTATTAGAAGAGAACCAAATAAACTGTGTACTTACCAATTTCCAATCTACTAATCAAGTAACTGCAGCATTACAATGAAGAAACTTGGATTAGTAGCTGCTTTTAGCAATTGAGGTTATATTGGAATGAGACACTTTTTCAAGATTCAATAAATATTGAATACTTCAATCTTTACATTTCTTGGGAAAAGGCAGCTGTTTCTATTTGAGCTAAATATTTAGAGAGCATCACTGGTGATCACCTACCATCAGCCTTCCTTAATCTGGTGCTAGTTAAATTGTAGTTTTGGGACTACAATTCAGAATTTTCAGTCAACATGATCATTTGAAGAACTCCATCTTAAGGAAAGCCTACTTTTCATGGTAAAAACTGGACAGAACGACTGTTTACTATCTGAAGAAATTTATAATTTATAATCACTAGGTTTTTAAAGAAAATTCAAAGTATGCAAACAGTGTTCAGAAAAGATAGTTGCACTCTCATTTCGGTGTCTTATTTTTATTATCTGCAACTATATCACCATCCAGGCAAAGAAAAAGGCTACAGATGAAATAATTTATCTACACTGGCCGTGCAAATTAATTGGGATATTTGCTTGCTTAAAAGTTCTATGTGCAACATATTTTACAAAGTATCTCCATACAGTAGAAAGTGGAACTCATTTCAGCAATTTTACCACTGTAAATAAAAATGTTCTGGGAGATTTTCTATATACATGCCTTTAATCATCATCTGCAATGAAGCGTTTATATCTAATGAGTATCAGGTAGGCCACTGCTGCCAATTCTTGTCTTCTGCCCTTATTCAGAATATTGTAATTTTAGTGTTGTTTTCTTGAATGATAAGTCATGAAAAATGCATTTATTTGCTCTTGCTGGTGAATGTATTCTAGCTGTGCTAAAGTGCTTAAGAATACATGAACATTTGCAATAGCAGAACTTTTTGCCCATCCCCATATTCCAAATATTAGAACATACTGCATCTTGAAATCCAAACAATACTAGGTGAATCTGATTGATTGAAGTACTGTCAAAATCAAGATCCATTTTCAGCTTCGATATCGTTGATGCCATAATTCTGTGTTCAGGAGAGCGTATAAAATCTCTTAAAATCCCAATTATCTGCTTAATGTGAGCAACTGAAAGATGCAATTCTTCAGAACTCTGAAAAATATGAACATGCAAAATAAAATTTTAAACAACCAGCAAGTGATAAGTTCAACAAATGTTACAACTATGGTAAATAGGTAACCACAAACCCATAGTTATCCTAAATCACATTACTGAGCCAATAAATTAATTGAAAAGAGGCTTAGTAATAAGTTTGTCAAATTGAATATTGATATAACTGAAAGCCAGCAGTTTTGTTTTCATTTTCTATAAATATATTTATCAGTATGTTTATATCACCTGATAATTCAAGCAGTAGCTAAATTATATCAGATAGTGATTTATATCAACCAAACTGTTGTGTGCTGGGGAAAAAAATTGAAGCATGGTTTGAAATACTAAGCAACAGTATTGGATTATCACTGCTTTATGTATAGTAGACCTGGGAAATTCCGTATACATTCTTTGTCAATAAGTGACAGCATCCTTATGTAAAGGTAAAAAATATGTATATACCAGACTATCCAAAGCAACCTGTGCTGTATCTGACCAATACATAGAAACATTTCAGAAACATCAACTTTGCCCAGCAGGGCTGGATTATGACAGGGTAAAGCCCTGAGCCATGGAATCTGCAGAGGCTCTGTTTGGTCAGCGCTAAAAGAAGATAAGACCATTAACGCTGAGATTGGCAAGAATGACTCCAAGATGCATAACAAACCTGTGATAAAGAAGGGGCCTCTTTGAACAGAAGGAGCAGGTGCATGCCAAAGCAATACATGCAAAAAAGCTTAAGTTTCAGAAAATTTCATACATGAAATTATAATAAAACTGTAACAAATGAAAAAAAAGTCTGAAATACTAGGAGGCCCTTCAACTGCAAGGCCCTAGCTGTTGCTTGCTTACCTTATGCCTAAATCTGGCTTTATTGCCAAGTTAGCAGAGTTCTATAACAAGGCTAATACTGAGTGAGCAAAGAAAATAATGGGATCCATTGTTCTGGTTGCTAACTGAAGACCATAAGTAAAATGTGAACCCAGTTTAATTCATAACAGCATATTTTTCCAGAGGTCTATGACACATTGCTGCAGATTCTTACTTTGTGAAGAAATTGTTCAGAATTCTTTGGAAACGGATCTAGTGATTATCAATACTAGTTGTAAAATGACTCTATTACCAGCCTTTAAGTTTGGGGTACAGCTATGGGAATATGCACTACCTTGTATCTATTCATAGTAAATAAAACTTTGAATTACTAAGTAGAATGGTGCATTTTTACTGACCTAAATGGATATTGCTGACAGCCTCCATTCACAAACATAGATAAATAGGAGCACTGGTCCTCAGTGTTGGTTCTCAACACTTCTGATTTTATTTTGTTTACAATATAATATTTCATGTGATACCAATCTACAAAACACCTTGTAGCAAACCACCAAACCGTTAGCATAAATTGTTTTCAACTTTCCAATCTGGAAAATCCAACTGCCATTTTTCAGTTCACAGTGAGAGCTGCAGAGGGCAACTTTCCATCATGAATTGCAGTAATACTTATTTAGATCCATTTAATTTTCTTGGGTGCAGGATAAGGGGATCACGATGCCATTTCAGATATGACCTTTATACTAGTCCTTAAACCCAAATTGAATGAATAAAATAAAAAAAAATGTGTTGCACAGGTAATAGCAACAGAAAATGTACGCTAAGACACTTTTAGTACCGTAAGGATTCAACTAATTATTAAGTATAAGCATGTTTCTTCTGCTTCAAAACAGTGTAGAAAGGAGTAATTAGGAATGAAGAGCAATAGGTGCAAATATGCTTAACCTTTCACATACTGCTGTTTTTGCTCTTCAACTGCTCAATACAGCTTCTTGTGTTTGGGCTCCTGAGATCAGAAAAGAAATGGAAGAATAAAGTTGTTCTCTCTGTATCATATCACTTTTTCTGGCTGTCTCTGTGAAGATTTCCATTCTGATCCTTTTGATAGCAAGCCATATTACTGGAATTATTTCTCTACATCACAGCAAAGTTTAATCGTTAATAAATCTGTCTTTCCATGTTTCCAATCCAAAAGATTAAAAAAATAATCATTTTTTTTAATGATGTATTGATGGAGAAAGGGGAAAAATACTTGTCATTCACAGTCTCCGACCAGCAATCACACAACAGTTCATTACTGAACAAAACATAAGGGGGTTCTGTGTTCTTCTATAATCTTTGTAATTTTTGAATTAGACGCTGATTTCCTCCCGCTTCTTCATTATCCTTAGCAGAAAACTATATGCAAACAGGTTACTACAGTTGTTTTTATAAACATTTATCTACTGCTTGAAAGGTGGTATTCTTCATAAAACTATATAATGAAACAAAAAGGTATTATTTCCTAATTTCATTTAACCTCTGATATAACAATTTGAAGTATTTCATACTATTTTCATATAATTCATTTGTATCATGTTTGTACCCCTTCTCAGTGAATACATGTGCAGTCTCTCTCTCTATAATTGCCTAGAGTCACTTATACAGTGAGATGGGTAGCGTTTGATTTACACACACACACACACCCCTTTGTTTTTAGGTCTGAAAATAGGCTGCTGCTACTGTCAACTATGTTCCACATAAGAATGTAGAAAGTGAAGGTGAAACACACTTTCTCTTTCGGTGCCCACTGATAATGTTGTTTATTCTTAGTGTTTTTCCTATGTGATTGGAAAGTAAAACGAGTATAAGGCAATTTTATGTGTGTGAGTAATGAACATGAAGATAAACAGACTGATCCTATAAGCCAGAGAAGGCCCTAGCATGAAATCTAGTTGAAACATTTTTTTATATCTCATCCTGTGGTAGCTATCTCCTGATTTAGAAGGGAGGGAGGGAGGGAGGGAGGGAGGGAGG